GTCCATGTACACACACACAAACTCTGACCCCCTTAAAAATGTCTCATGCAACTTTTTAAAATTTTTTTAATTGATATTTATTGAGCTCTACATTTTTCTTTGTTCCCTCCCTACTTCTCCCCTCCCCACTTCAACCCTCCCCCAAGGTCCCAATTTACTCAGGAGATCTTGTCTTTTTCTACTTTCTACTTCCCATGTAGATTAGATCTATGTAAGTCTCTCTTAGTGTCCACATTGTTGTCTAAGTTCTCTGGGATTGGGGGCTGGAGAGATGGCTCAGTGGTTAAGAGCATTGCTTGCTCTTCCAAAGGTCCCGAGTTCAATTCCCAGCAACCACATGGTGGCTCACAACCATCTTTAAAGAGGTCTGGTGCCCTCTTCTGGCCTGCAGACATGCACACAGACAGAATATTGTATACACAATAAATAAATAAATATTTAAAAAAAAAATAAGTTCTCTGGGATTGTGGTTTGTAGGCTGGCTTTCTTTGCTTTATGTTTAAAAACCACCTATGAAGCCGGGCGGTGGTGGCGCACGCCTTTAATCCCAGCACTCAGGAGGCAGAGGTAGGCGGATCTCTGTGAGTTCGAGACCAGCCTGGTCTACAGAGCTAGTTCCAGGAGAGGCTCCAAAGCCACAGAGAAACCCTGTCTCGAAAAAACAAAACAAAACAACAACAAAAAAAAAAAAACCTATGAGTGAGTACCTGTGATAATTGTCTTTCAGTGTCTGGGTCACCTCACTCAAAATAATGCTTTCTAGCTCCATCCATTTTCCTGCAAAGTTCAAGATGTTTTTTTTTTCTGCTGTGTAGTACTCCATTGTGTAAATGTACCACATTTTCCTTATCCATTCTTTGGCTGAGGGACATTTAGGTTGTTTCCAGGTTCTGGCTATGACAAACAAAGCTTCTATAAACATAGTTGAGCACATGCCCTTGTGGCACAGTTGAGCATCCTTTGAATATATACCCAAAAGTGGTATTGCTGGGTCTTGAGGAAGGCTGTTTCCTAATTTCCTGAGTCGCCACACTGACATCCAAAGGGGCTGTACCAGCTTGTGTTCCCACCAGCAATGCAGAAGTGTTTCCTTTTCCCCACAACCTCTCCAGCATAAGTTGTCATCAGTATTTTTGATCTTGGTCATTCTTTCAGGTGTAAGATGGAATCTCAGAATTGTTTTGATTTGCATTTCTCTGATGACTAAGGATGTTGAACATTTCCTTAAGTGTCTTTCAGCCATTTTAGATTCCTTTGTTGAGAGTTCTCTGTTTAGGTCTGTACTTCATTTTTTTTTTAAATTGGATTATGTGTTCTTTTGGTGTCCAATTTCTTGAGTTCTTTGTATATTTTGGAGATCAGACTTCTGTCTGATGTGAGGTTAGTGAAGATCTTTTCCCATTCTGTAGGCTGTCATTTTGTCTTGTTGACCGTGTCCTTTGCTTTACAGAAGCTTTTCAGTTTCAGGAGGTCCCATTTAATTTTCTGCTGGGGTTATATTTAGGAAGTGGTTCCCTGTGCCAATGCGTTCACAAGTGTACTACCCATATTCTCTTCTATGAGGTTCAGTGTGGCTGGCTTTATGTTGAGGTCTTTGATCCATTTGGACTTGAGTTTTGTGCATGGTGATAGATATGGGTCTATTTTCATTCTTCTACATGTTGATATCCGGTTATACCAGCATCACTTGTTAAATATTCTTTTTTTTTCCATTTGATATTTTTTGCTTCTTTGTCAAATATCAGGTGTTCAAAGATGTGTGGATTGATATCCGGGTCTTCTGTTCAGTTCCATTAGTCCTCCTGTCTGTTTTTATGCCAATACCAGGCTGTTTTCAGTACTGTAGCTCTATAGTAGAGTTTGAAGTCGGATTGTGATGCCTCCAGAAGTTCTTTCATTGTACAGGATTGTTTTGGCTATCCTGGGTTTTTTGCTTTTTCCATATGAAATTGAGTACCGTTATTTCGAGGTCTTTTAAAGAATTTTTCTGGGATTTTGATGGGCATTGCATTGAATCTATAACTCTACTTTTCTTATGCAATTACCTTATTCAACTGTGTGCCTGTTTACAAACACTCTACACCAGAAGTATGAAGTCTATGTGGAGGCAGAAAATAGCTCTGCTGTTGTGGTTTATATGCCTCCAAGATTCTTACACACAATGCCTCAGTGTTTACTGAAGGAAAATGTTGCCTACTGTTCTGTACCAAAAACAATACAGCTCTGTGTTTGAAAATGAGACCTTTTGTATCTTAGAGCAGGAAGTCTTTTATACAGTCTTGTGGAGTTGAATTGTTAATTTCCTCTTCTCTAAGAAGCATAGATTCTATTAAAACAGTTTCTTCTTCCTTTCCTACCTTTTTTTTTTTTAAAAAAAAAAGTGGGGGGGTGTTTCATTGTGCATCCCTGCCTGGACCAGAACTTGCTCTGTAGACCAGGCTGGCCTCAAACTGACAGATCTGCCTGCCCCTGTACAGGGATCAAAGGTTTCTATTTTGCTACCATGGTTGTTGACACCATGACTTGTTAGACTCATGTTATCAACCCTTGTCACTTCCATTTTGCCCTTTGGGATCAAGTCTTTAAGTAAACAAGGCCAAGAGAGACTGAATAATAAAACCTTGTGCAAAAAGAACCTCAGCTGGGGCTGGAGAGACAGCGCTGACTTAAGAGCACTTGCTGTTCTTGCAGTGGCCCCAATTTGGTTCTCAAAAAGGATACCAACTGACTCAGTGTGAGTGAAGATGCCTTAGGGAAGCTCCCTGCTGAAGATATGGCCTCATGACAACAAAACAGAATTAACTAGCTGAACCCAGAAGAAATGAACTAATGCTTTCAACCACATTTCAGAATGGACTGCTATGTAATAAAGATCATTGAATTGACACAAGACTTAATAATTTCAATAAAATAAATCAGCCTAAAACCGGTGGTAGTGGTTGTTATTCCTTTAATCCCAGCACACTGGAGGCAGAGGCAAGCAGATCTCTTTGAGTTCCAGACCAGCCTGGTCTACAGAGGTAGTTCCAGGATAGGATAGCCATGGCTACACAGATAAACCCTATCTCCAAAAACAAAAATTACTTTTATGAACTCAAGTTTTGCTTGCATGTATGTCTGAGCACCGTGTACATGCCTGTCTCCATGGGAAGCACAGGAACTGGAGCCAGACAGCTGTGGGTCCTCTGGAAGATGGCTCTTTTTGTGTGTGTGTGTGGTTTTTTGAGAAAGGGTTTCTCTGTGGCTCTGTGGCTTTGGAGCCTGTCCTGTCACTAGCTCTTGTAGACCAGGCTGGCCCTGAACTCACAGAAATCCACCTGCCTCTGCCTCTCAAGTGCTGGGATTAAAGGCATGTGCCACCACCACCCGGCTGGAAGTAGGCTCTTAACTGCTGAGCCATCTCTCCAGCCCCCAGATTCTGTCCCCAGAAACAAAACAAAAACCAAAGGGAATTACCTTTTTGGGGTTTTTGCTTTTTGTTGTTATTGTTTTTGGTTTTTTGAGACAGGGTTTCTCTGTAGCTTTGGAGCCTAGCCTGGAACTAGCTCTTGTAGACCAGGCTGGCCTCGAACTCACAGAGATATGCCTGCCACTGCCTCCTAAGTGCTGGGATTAAAGGCCTGCGCCACCACTGCCCGACTGGATTACCTTTTTGTAATTTCCAAACTTCTCACTGAATTGTTTTTTATTTAAAAAAAAAGTATGAAAAATATCATAATGAGCCCAAGCATGGTACCACAAGTCTTAAATCGCAGAGCTAAAGAGGCAGAGGCAGGTGGATCTCTGTGAGTTCAAGGTTAACCTTGACTACATAGTGAGTTCCAGGACAGTTGGGATTATATAGAGACCCTGCCTTCAAAAAACAAAAATAAATGAAAGAAAAACATATTTTTTTTTGTAATTAATATATACTAACAAAAACAAAATCTAGGCAGAAGGTACAGTTCACTGTGGAACAAGTACTTGGTATATTCAAGATCCAGCACTATAACACACGTAAGTCTTGAAGAAGTCCATTCATGCTTTTTAAGAGTTTTACTTTCATCTGATCATCTCTCTCATAACCCTGGTGCTTACACCCATATTAAAATATCTTTAAGCCGGGTAATGGTGGCGCACGCCTTTAATCCCAGCACTTGGGAGGCAGAGGCAGATGGATCTCTGTGAGTTAGAGACCAGCCTGGTCTACAGAGCTAGTTCCAGGACAGGCTCCAAAGCCACAGAAAAACCCTGTCTTGAAAAACCAAAAAAAAAAAACTTTATTAAGTGCCACATTTTTTTCTTAAAAGAAAACAACAAGAATAACAACAAAACATGCATGGTAGCACACACCTGTAATCCCTGCATTGGGAGGTGGTGACAGGATTGGGAGCTCAAGCATAGCCTCAGCTACATCATAAGTTCTAGGCCAATCTAAGCAACGTGAGACTTTACATCCAGAAAACAAAATAAAGCCACATATGAAAGTCCAAGATTCATCTCTGCCAATGGATGAAGCTTCTGATGACTTCAGCTTCACATCCCGTGTGCTCTAATGTGGCACTTACTATTATTAAAAAAGTTAGAAAGCCAGGTGTGGAGGCACATACATCTATCTCAGCACTCAGAAGACAGAGGCGGGAGCAACTCTGAGTCAGAGGCCAGCCTGGTCTATACAGTGAGTTCCAGGTCAGAATTAGAGAAACCCTGTCCATTCCGTTCCCCCCACTACACACACATTTTTTTTTTAAGTAAGGAAGAGGTACTCCGTTGGAGGAGTGCTTGCCTAGCACATAGGAAATCCTAGTGTGATCTTTAACACTCCATAAAACTGGATGAGGTTCACCAGGTGCTGGTGGCACACACCTTTAATCCCAGCACTCAGGAGGTAGAAGCAGGCGGATCTCTGTGAGTTTGAGGCCAGCCTGGTGTATAGAGCAAGTTCAGGACAGTCAGGGCTACACAGAGAAGGCCTATCTTGAAAAAACAAACAAAACTGGATGTGGTTAAGGGTCATCGTCTGAAATACTTCTCTACTCAGAGAAGTTAACCTCATTTATTTTGATGAGCGCAGTACAAGTGTAATTTCACTTTCCCACTTCATTTTGGTGTCACACTCTTTAGAGACAACAGCATCATTGCACTTCCAAGGGGCCGGGGAGCTCAGTGGCAGAGCATTTCCCTAGAATGACAACGTTCCTGGGTTTTGTCTCTAAGATTACATAAAAAAAAAAAAAAAAACCACCAAACATGAAGGGCCAAGGTCAGAAAGAGCCAACAATAATGATTCTAATTGTCGTACTTCTAAGACGTAAAGTATGATTGGGTTGTAAATAAGTAAGATCTTAACAGAAGAGCTTACGACTCAGGAATGAGAAACTTGAGTCTGCAGGAGTGAGCAGAAGTAGCACTGAGGGAACACACAGTGTGCATATCCCATCCCAAAGACAGCCCATTTTATCAGAGAAAGCACACTGCGTTTCCTCGCAGGGATAGGTCCTGTTCCCCTTCTCCAGGGTGACAAGCGCATCTCTTCTCGAGTTCCCAGTTCTCTGTTCTAGCGGTACTTCCCATGCCGGTTAAAGTGTTTGTAGAGATAGCGGATCCGTTTGTTGAGGTTGTGCAGGTCCTCGGCGAACATTCTGCTTCCAACCATTTTCTTCTTTCGGATACAGCGCTGCAACTCATTTCCTCTCCAGCCTCGAAGCCATACCGGGCCCTTGATCAGTTCCTTCGGGTGCTTTTCGAAGTTCCCTGTAATGCGAGAGAATGTTAAGCTTGCAGAGAAGGGAAGGCAGCCTAGGCCAGCTAAGCCTCCACCCCACGGCTGCAGTTCCCTGAGCAGAGCTTACAGACCAGGCACGCCCGTAATGCTACTAAGAACAGTCTTCGGGGCTCAAGAGATGGCTCTGCGGTAAGAACATTTGTTCCTGCAAAGAGCCCGGGACCCAGCACACACATCTAGAGGTTCACAACTGTGTGCAAGGCCAGTTCTAGGGAGCCTGACATCCTGTACCTGCCGGCTTTGCTTGAATAACACATGGCACATGTACAGTAAAACAGGCAAGCGCGCGCCAGAATGCTTGGGATTCAGATACTGACACTACCGTCCAGCTCTGGGCACTCAGAACAACGCACAAGTGTGTTAGTCCGTCTCATCACCACACAATTCTCTGTAACTTAGACTGGTCTTGTCTGCCTTAGTCCCCAGCTTATGCCACCAAGCCTGGCCTGAACACACTACTATTCTCCAAGCAAATAAAAACAAAGTAGTCAATACAGCCTACCAGTCCTTCTGAAATTAGCAATCAAGTCCTACCCAGGATCCCGATGTTGTCGTAGACACCAAACAGAGCCCTCTTCTCGTTCCAGCGGTCAACCACTCTCGGGGGCGGCAGCGTAAGCCTCACACGGGTCAACAGCGGTACACCTAGGAATGGAAGGGAGAAGAAAGAATCAGCACCGCCTATCAACAAGCAGTTCGCGGGGCGCCTGTCTTATCTGTACCTTAGCCACTTACCCAGAGAGAAGCTTCTGCACGCCAAGGGCATCCAGCCCCACAGGCTCCTACTTGCCACCCAAGGGAGACTCCCTGCCATTACTCTAGCGCCCGTCTACCTCGACAGGGCCCAGCACTAGCCAGAAAAATAGGGACCAGGTGTATATTTCAAAGACCAGGTAAAGGACACAGTCTCAGCAGGGGCTCACGCGGAACAGACAGCAGGAGACGCCATCTTGGGCTTTACCCAGCTAGCTTTGGGAGCGGACGCCCCTCGGCTCGCACCGCCCTAGCCACAATCTCCGCCCCCCAAGTTCTGGCCGAGCATGCGCGCCCAGCTCAGACACTTCCGGTTTAGCCAGGGGACGTTTTTAGGGCTGCGGCACATTTTCTTGTCGCAGGGTAGGACATCTCCAACCCGGAACTCCGTGTCCGTGCAAATAAACCCTCTCCTGTTTCCCTGGGCGTCCTCCACTGTGAGGGAGGTGGAGGATGGGAGCCCGGCGCCGCGACAAGATCCCCTTGCACCTCGCCACACGGTTTTGCTGAGACAGTATACTCTAGCAGTTTAGAGGGCAGGGATTTGAGGTCCGGGGCCTCCCGGTGGGATATCCGGGTCGCCATTCCGGGGACGGGGCGTTGTGGAGGAACTGGAGAAAGCGCAGACCCATCTTGCTCCGCCTCCGGTGCTGTGATTGGCCGGCCTCTCCCGGCCTCCCGGCGCTGTGATTGGTCGGCCTCTCCAGCGCGTCACGCTCCGCCTCCTGGCAGCCGTTGAAGTTTGAACTCCGATTCGCGGGCTCTGCGAGCGCGACTCCTGACTCCGAGGCGGATTTCCGTCCCAGCCTGCCGAGGATTGGCTGGTTTCTCCGCAAGCTTGAAAACCATCTAGCTGTTTGGCGCGGATGGTCCGCTGGTGTTTTCTTCCTTCCTTTTCAGCGGGGTCGATCTCAGTCGAAGAAGCGGCGGGTGAGCGGTGTCCAAGTGTCCAGGTGAGGTATGGCAGGGGTAGGAAGCCGGAAGTGAAGGGCTGAGAAAATCAGGTCCGGGACAGGACGCAGCCTTTGCCTGTGTGCAGTCGGCAGCGACGTCTGGTAGGGATGCCCTTGAAATCCAAAGTAGCAGTGAGTGATATAGATCAGAAACGGAACGTGTGATGTGGGCAGATCGCATAACCTTGCTACTCACTCAATCCGTCAACTTAGTTGTTTCGTTATGCACCCCGAGCGGCCAAGATTGGAGACTACAGAATAAGTAAACGCTAATGTTCTCTCATCCTGCATCCAGGAACCCCATGCCGTAAGGATCGTTTGAATTTAAAATGGAATTAGTAAGGCTGTTTGTACAATTGATTGTCACTTACGGGTTCATTAATATTTAAATTTTGTTTTGTTTTGTTGAGCTAGCTCTTGGCAGCCTAGTACTCACTGCAGCCCCGCCTGGCCTCAAACTCAGCAGTTCTCCTGCCTCAGCCTTCCTAGTGTTGAATTTATAAACCTGTACCACCACACCCGGCTCTTTCCGAATTTTTTAACCCTTGATTCATTTGAGCCCCAGAATAATATCATTTTAGAGATGAAACCGTGAGGACTCAGTGACCTACCTAGTGGCAGAGTAATAACAAGAATTAGATTCTCGTCTGGAGTTGCTTTTATATTGGGGACTGGAGGTCTTATATAGCCCAGATCATGTAGAAGAGGCTGTCCTTGAACTGCATCCTTCTGCCTCCCTAATGCTGGGATACTAGGAATATAAATACAACCGTGTACTACTTTACTTGGCTCTGATATTATACCTCACAAGATGTTAGTAGCTTGTTGTAAGACTGAAAAACATATTGTTGAAAGTGGGGGACATAATTGAACCAGATAATTTCTGAGGCAGGGGTTATATAGCTCAGTGGTAAAGTACCTGCCTACCATACAAAAAATGCTAGGTTTAATTCCCAGTACCACCACCACCACCCCACCCTCCCCCAAAAAAAAAGAAGAAAAGAAAGAAATGCTCTTACTACATAATAAAAACCACAACACTCTTATATTTAAACTCGTGGTTCCAACCTTCTTAATGCTGTATTAAATGCTCTTTAAACACAGTTCTTCATGTTGTGGTAATCTTCAATCATAAAATTATTTCGTGGCTACTTCATAACTGATTTTGCTACTGTTATAAATTATAACGGTGTTTTGATGGTTTTAGGAGACCCCTGTGAAGAGGGTCAAGACCCACGGATTGAGAATTTCTGGTTTAGACTGAAGTTTTTGTTGTTTGTCTTCTAGGCCTGTGAACCGATAGAAGGATGTCTCCCCAAAACTTTGAATTCCATCTGCCCTTAGCCCCAGAGGAGTTGCTGAAGAGTAGAGGCGTGAATCAGTATGTTGTTCAGGAGGTGTTGCCCATCAAGCAGCTTCCGTCACAACTTAGAGGTAAGACACCATGGCTACCAGTGAGCTCCAATAGAGAAACACCCCGTGTGTAATTAGCGTCTCTGTTCTATAGCTCTGTGACATTCCATCGGGGCAGGGAATATCTTTCCTACTAGTCCCTAATTTTATTTCACTTGTTTATTTGTTTGTTTGTTTGTTTAGTAGCTTTGCGCGGGATTCATGACGCAAATGGCTGTCCTCCCTGGATTATTGGAGAAACAGTGTTGCTTAATCTAGTTACTCTAGATTTTTGGGGGGGGGGGGGGGCTGGGGATGTTTTGTTTTTCTGTTTTGTTTTATTGTTTTTTTGATTTTTCGATTTTGGCTTCTCTGTGTAACGGTCCTTGCTGTCCTGGAACTCACTTTGTAAACCAGATTGGCCTCGAACTAAGGCATGGACCACCACCACTTGGCTGTATTTTTACCCTTTACCATGGTAAAATTAAGAATTGTAGGCTAGGGACTGGAGAGATGGCTTAGAGGTTAAAAGCACCAACTGTTCTTCTAGAAGACCCAGATTTGATTCCCAGCACCCACATGGCAGTTCACAACTGATTGTAACTTGTGCATGTAGTGCACAGATATGTATGCAGGCAAAACAGCAACCTACATACCATACATGAATAAATTAAAAAATAAAACATGCCGCAGTTGTGAACAGTATTTGACTTGCCTTTTCTTAGGGAGTACTCTTAAATCTAGATCGTGTTTCCAAGAAGTGTAATAAAGGAGAAACATAGCTGTAACAACACACAAAACAGTCATCTGTCACTTAACAAGTGGGAGACATGTTTTGAGAAGCCTGTTGCTAGATGATTCATTATTATGAAACCTCATCATAGAGTATACATGTACAAGTTTTTAAAATGGCATTGTCCACTCAGGAGGCAGAGGCGGGTGGATCTCTGTGAGTTCAAAGCCAGCCTGGTCTACAGAGTGAGTTCCAGGACATGCTCCAAAGCTACACAAAGAAACTCTGTCTCAAAAAACCAAAATAAAGGGAGCTGGAGAGATGGCTCAGTGGTTAAGAGCATTGCCTGCTCTTCCAAAGGTCCTGAGTTCAATTCCCAGCAACCACATGGTGGCTCACAACCATCTGTAAAGACGTCTGGCGCCCTCAACTGGCCTTCAGGCATACAGACAGAATATTGTATACATAATAAATAAATAAATATTTAAAAAAAAAACAAAATAAAATAAAATAAAAATGGTGTCATGTACTCCAAATTACTTGTCTAGTATACACAAAGTCCTAGGTTTCATCCTCACCGCCAGATGAAGCCAGATGTAGTAGTGCACACCTGTAACCCCAGCAGTTGGGATGAACAGAGCAGGAGGATTGCTGAAAGTTCAGGAGCAGACTACGGCAGAGTAAGACCTTGTCTCCAAAACAGAAATCAAAACAACAAGAAAAAATAAGAGACGGATATATAAGGCTACTGTTAGAGTAACCCAGCATTAGCATTTTATAGTAAGTTACCAGGAGGAATATACCCTAAATAACAGCTACAGCACTAACTAGCCAGTAACATAGTCTTTTATTGTCAAGAATTATCTACTGTTCATAACCGTCTGTGCCATGCTTTACGGGATTTGAAGTGTAGAGTGAGTGTTTGCACTGCACACCTTATAGATGCAAACGTAGCAGTGGCTAAAACGTCACTAGGCAGTAGGAAGTTTTCAGCTCCATTGCAATAGAGGAGGATACCGTATATGTGGCTGTTCACTGGCAGTGTGGCACCTGTGATTGGATGCACAGTGTAGTTCCTCCTGACGTCTATGAACAACTAAAAACAACTTGTACTTCTTGGAATTGGTTCACACTGGGTTGCTTTAGGGAATTACATGTAGACCAAACTGCTGGAGCCAGACTTGGGCTTGTCTCCTCTGCCACCCTGAGCTTGAACAAGTGACCTCCTACTGGAGATGGCAGCTCCTGGATATAAGGTTCAAAAATGGGAAAAGGCATTTCTGTCTTGTCCTTTTTCTTTTTTCAATTTTTTTTCTAAGTTTTTTTGAGACAAGGTCTTAATTTGAGCAGTCTCAAACTGAATACATAGCTAAGGATGATTTTGAACTTCTGCTCTTCCTTGCCTCCTTCTCGTCGCTGGGTTGGTTTCTCCTTTTTCAGGACTGGGGATTGAACCAAGGCCTTGCATATGCCAGATAAGTGCTTCTCTGAGCTACATGGCTACACCTCCTTTTTATTTGTATTTTCACATGGTCTTGCTAGTAGCCCAGGCTAGCCTTGAATTCACTTTGTAGCCGAGTGAAGCTTTTGAGTTTTTAATCCTCCTGCCTCAGCCTCTCTAATGACTGGTACTATCGGCCAGGACCAACAGTTAATCTATGTAGTGCCGAGAGTTTGGGTTTTTTTGTTTGTTTGGGTTTTTTTGGTTTTTGGTTTTGGATTTTCGAGACAGGGTTTCTCCGTAGCTTTTGGTTCCTGTCCCGGAACTCGCTCTTGTAGACCAGGCTGTCCTCGAACTCACAGAGATCTGCCTGCCTCTGCCTCCCAAGTGCTGGGATTAAAGGCATGCGCCACCACCGCCCGGCTGAGAGCTTGGGTTTTTATAAACTGTTCTTTCATACTACTAAGAATTATTGATTTCAGCACCAGGCCACGGAAAGTAGAAGGTAAACCTGGAGCATCTTGTGGTGTGAGAAAGTAAGAAAATAAATGCTCACTCTAGCAGCACATGTACAAAGTTGGGGTGACACAGGAAGAAGTGTGCCCCGTGAAACATTGCTGCTTTTTATGACAGAAATGTGGTGCATGTGACTAAAGTCCATGATGTTTGTGTATGAACAGGGAATGAGCCGGGTGTGGTGGTGCACACCTTTAATTCCAGCACTGCAGGAGGCAGAGGAGTGGTCTACAGAGCAAGGAATCCCCAGGACAGCCAGGGAAACACAGAGAAGCCCTGTCTTCAAAAAAAAAAAAAAAAAAACCAAACAACAACAAAATTATGAAAGGCAAAGATTGAAGATTCAGGAAACATGTCTGCAAAATGCCTTCTACATAGAAATAGAATTTACAAAAAAAAAATCTGT